GTAAACAATGACAGCTGTTCTCTTTTGGGCCGGGCGCCGTGGCTCACGCCTGTAATCCCAGCACTTCGGGAGGCCGAGGCAGGTGGATCACGAGGTCAGGAGATTGAGACCATCCTGGCTAACACGGTGAAACCCTGTCTGTACTAAAAAAATACAAAAAATTAGCTGGGTGTGGTGGCAGGCGTCTATAGTCCCAGCTACTCCGGAGGCTGAGGCAGGAGAATGGCGTGAACCCAGGAGGCGGAGCTTGCAGTGAGCCGAGCCTGGGTGACAGAGCGAGACTTAGTCTCAAAAAAAAAAAAAGACAAAGTTGTTCTCTTTCATGCCCCTCCTCAGGTTAACCTCTCCAAGGACCAGTTGCCAAGATGAACCTAGGTACTCCTTGCCAGCCAATGAATTTGCCCCAAAACTATGCATACAAGATTCTTTGTTCTCAGAATCTTTTTTTTTTTTTTCTTGAGACTGAGTTTCGCTCTGTCACCCAGGCTGGAGTGCAATGGTGCAATCTTGGCTCACTGCAACCTCTGCCTCCTGGGTTCAAGCGATTCTTCTGCCTCAGCCTCCCGAGTAACTGGGATTATACGCGCCCGGCACCATGCCTGGTTAATTTTTTGTGTTTTTAGAAGAGATGGGGTTTCACCATGTTGGCCAGGCTGGTGTCAAATTCCTGACCTCAGGTGATCCACCCACGTCAGCCTCCCAAAGTGCTGGGATTACAGGCATGAGCCACCGAGCCCCGCCTGTTCTCAGACTCCCTATTTAGGGGTTTCTTTTCTATCCTCTTTCTCCCCTCTGTCTTATAAATCTGGTTTCTGCCTTCACTCTTTTTTCTTAGAGACAGGTCTTGATCTGTCACCTGGGTTGGAATGTACTGGTGCAACCACGGTTCACTGCAGCCTCGAAATCCTGAGCTCAAACAATCCTCACACTTCAGCCTCCCAAGTAGCTGGGACCACAGGCACATACTACCATGCCCGAATAATTTTGTTTATTCTGTGTAGAGACAGGGTTTTGCTATTTTGCCCAGGCTGGTCTTGAATTCCCAGGCTCAAGTGATCCTCCCACCTTGGCCTCCCAAAGTGCTGAGATTATAGGCGTGAGCCACCGCATCCAAGCAGCCTTTGCTCTTTAGCGACAGTCTACTGACTGATCTCCCTCCTGTGATTTGCATTCAAAGTAACTAACAATGTCTCTGAGTTATTCTTTCATAGTAACCAATTTCCCAACTTAGCACACCACAGATCCGCTCTGCCTGTTCTTGAACTTTCTGTGAATGGAATCCCACAGCCTGTGCTGTCTTGTCTCTGGCTTGTTCTACTCGACATTATGTCTGAGATTCGTCCACATGGCTGTGTGTGTTTCCATGTATTCATTCTCACTGCTGTGTAGCATGCTGTGCCTTGGGCTGGGGACATCTGGTAGTGGCAGGTGTCAGGAACTCCGCATCCACTCCGCAGTACTGCCCCGTCCCAGCCACCTCTAAGGTCCTTCTGACTGCACTCTCACCTCCTACAATCCACTGCCAATAGGGACCTTTCCAAAACTCAGACCTCAACTGGACGTTCCCATACTTAAAACTCGTTTTGCAGAGTCCTTTTGTTTTGTTTTTTTGTCTCCTTTTGTCTCGCTCTGTCGCCCAGCCTGGAGTGCAGTGATGCAATCTCAGCTCACTACAACCTCCACCTCCTGAGTTTTAAAAATTATTTATTAAAAAAAATTGTTTGTGAGATAGGGTCTTGCTCTGTCTCTTAGGCTGGAGTGCAGTGGTGTGAACACAGCTCACTGCAGCCTTTAACTTTTTTTTTTTTTTTTGCCCAGGCTGGAGTGCAATGGCACGATCTTGGCTTACTGCAACCTCCGTCTCCCGTGTTCAAGCGAGTCTCCTGCCTTGGCTCCCTAAGTAGCTGGAATTACATGCATGTGCCATCACATCTGGCTAATTCACTGCAGCCTTGACCTCTTGGAATCAAGCAATTCTCCAGTCTCAGCCTTCTGAGTAGCCGGGGCTATGTGTGCATACTACACACCTGGCTAATTTTTTTATTTTTTGTAGAGATGGGGTATCCCTTTGTTCTCAGACTTCTTCTTCTCTTTTTTTTTTTTCTTGAGACAGTCTCGCTCTGTCACCTAGGCTGGAGTGCAATCACGCGATCTTGGCTCACTGCAACTTCTGCCTCCTGGGTTCAAGCACGAGCCAACATGCCTGGCTAATTTTTGTATTTTTGGTAGAGACAGGGTTTCACCATGTTGCCTAGGCTGGTCTCGACCTCCAAAATCGTCCCTATGTTGCCAAGGCTGGTCTTGAACTCCTGGGCTCAAGGGATCCTCCCGCCTCAGCCCCCTTAAGTGCTGGGATTACAGGCATGAGCTACCGTGCCTAGACTTAATTTTATTTTTTATTTTTAGAGATGGAGTTTTGCTTGTTGCCCAGGCAGGGTTTCTCTTGTTTCATAGGTGAGGCACCTGGACCTCAGGAAGCTATGGTTTGCCAAAGTTGTACCCCGAGTCATACAGCCTGCGAGCCCATTACCCTGACACTTGCTTCCACGTGGTTTGTGTGCTAACATGGAGGGAAAAGAGAAACTCAAGGAAGAGCACTGTGGAAAGAAGGAGCTTTGGAGGCAGACGAGAAGGCATTGAGGGGGCTCAGTCCTTACCTCATAGTGAGGGTGTTCAAGGGGCACTGGCTCAAACTGGGGCAGGCTTTTGCTGAACCAGGTGGTGACTGGGCGCTGCATGTTGATGGCAAATGGCTCGAAGCCTTCCTGGAGGCCACAGATGGCAAAGAACCGCAGGGAGCTCACGTCCTGGCCCAGGTTCAGGTGACCCACCTGGCCAGGTCCCAAGCTGCAGACGGGCAGGAAGCCTGGTGGGAGCGGATGGATGGGAAGGGGTAAGGGCAGGTGGGCAGGGCAGGGGGAGCCGAGGGGAGGAGGTAGGGCTGGGAGAGCTGGAGGCAGAAGGGCAGTGCAAGGTCGGGAGAGACAGGAAAACAAGAAAGGGCATGTGAAGGGGTCTCAGCACTCACCGTCCCCAATCTCAATCTCCCGGAAGGCTGTTTCGGAGCCCGAGTCAGACATGAGGACCTCGCCATTGAGGGTGAAGATAATGGTGTTCTCTGTGAGGTCGATCATACAGCCAACGACATCGCCCGGCTGCCAGGGGCGCCCAAATGGTTCACTACCCAAGTGCCAGCGCTGGCCCTGTGAGGAGGGCCAGAGAAGACATGGTGTGGGGAGACACACAGAGAAATGGAGAGATAAGGAAGCAGGGAGGGAGAGATATATGAAGACAGACATTCGAAGTGTCAGGTTCAGGGCATGTGGTATGGAAGAGGGGTCACCCCACAGTGTCCCCATCTTTCCTCACATTCGCAACCATGATCACAGGAATTTTTCTCCCCACTCATCCCTTCTGCCTGAGTTCTCTGCTGTTACCATGGCTGGCATTATGCAGACCACCAAAGTGGTAGTGGGGGGCTGGAAGCAGCAGTAAGCAGAGGGATGGAAAGGAAAAATGAACCTATCAGTGTCCCCCCTACAGATCTATATATGCTTATATCTGTGCACAAAATAGATGAGTGGCTAAGGAGACGGATGGATGGATGAGAAGTTGAGTATATGACTGGACAGAAGAATGACTGGAAAGTTGAGAATCTACCTAGGTTGATGCAGAGAAAGAAGAAAGTCTAAGTAGGTGCAAGGATAGATAAATGGATGATGGACAGATGGAGGAAGGGAAGGATGGTTGTATAAATGGTTGTTGGACGGACAGACGGTTGTTGGATGGATGGATGGACAGTTGGCTGGAAGAATGGATGGATGGTTGGTTGGACAGATGAGGGATGAATGGATGATGGATGGATGGTTGAATGGATGGATGGATGCATGGTTGGCTGGTCAGTTGGATAGACGACAGATGGATGGATGGATGGATGGATGGATGGATGGATGGATGGATGAATGGATGATGGGACTATATGTGCATGCTACCTTGCCTGGCTAATTTTTTTTATTTTTTGTAGAGATGGTGTCTCCCTATGTTGGCTGGATGAATGGATGGTTGGTTATCTGGATGGATGGATGGATGGATGGATGGATGGATGGATGGATGGTTGGATGGATGAATGGATGATGGATGGTTGGATGGATGGATGGATGGATGGATGGATGGATGATGGATGGTTGGATGGATGGATGGATGGATGATGGATGGTTGGATGGATGGATGATGGATGGATG